TTGTGCCCATTTCCTCTTGTCCTGTCCCTGGGCACCACTGAAAAAAGACTGGCCCCATCCTCCTGACACCCACCCTTTCAGTATTTATAGGTTTTCAAATAGGCCAGCTCTGCCAGGTGTGCCACCTCTGCTGCAAGACCTGCTGAACACAAGCTTGTCAAAAGTCTTGATGACCTTCTTTTGAAATCAGAATCATTGAATGGTTTGGGTTGGAAGGGACCTTAAAGATCATCCAGTTCCAACCCCCCTGCCCTGGGCAGGGACACCTCCCACCAGACCAGGTTGCTCCAAGCCCCATCCAGCCTGGCCTTGAACCCCTCCAGGGATGGGGCAGCCACAGCTTCTCTGGGCAACCACCCTCACAGTCAGGAATTTCTTCCTGACATCTCATCTAAATCTCCCCTCTTTCAACCTTTTCTCCTCAAGATAAAGCACAAAATTTTTCATTTTGCATTTCAAGCAGAAAACTAAGGTCTTCCACATAAAATTTTGCCTGCTACTCTTTCCCGTTCCTGACCCTGAACTTAGTTGGTATCATAAATCTGGTATCAACCATATATAACGTGCCAGTTGGTGTCACATAGAATCCAGCTCACCTAGAATCCATCCCTTTCCCTCTCTCACTTCTGAAAATAACAGGCAATCCTTCAGACATTTTGTCATTGATTTACTGTCCTGGCTACTACTAACACATAAAAGAGGATTAAAAAAAAAAAAAAAGTGAAAAAAAAATCTAAGGACTAACTCCAGCTCTGATTTAAGAGGGAAGATTTATTACTAATAAGATTATTTTTAGTAAGTTTCAAATTGTTATAAAGAACTAGCATTTATAGGTATTTTAAAAAGGCTTTTCAAAAAAAAGTTTGAGAGTTTGAAATATGTTTTTAACATCAAGGTAGCAATTACCAGAAGCTGGATATATCCAGCTTTGAGAAGATTTTAGACAGCGAAAATTCATGCTAACAGACAGCATCTTCCAAAGACTTCCCTGCTCTGTCTTCCCTTCTCCTCCAGGGACCTTTAGAAGATTGCTCTAAAGAAGTGTTGCTAAAGAAGAGCCATAAAAGGAGGGGTTGGATTGTTTAGGGTTATTTCTTTTTGTTTTTAAACAAAGGTGTAACTCCAGGTGCTCTGAAACAGCCTGGCTAATTTTACAGGAAACCCAGAGTTTTCAGAGCTCACTGACTTTTAGAAATACCATCAGAGTCTAACACAAACCCTTAGGTAATTCTCCAAGCTTTAAGGAAATCTGTGAGCAAAATCTGAACTTTGTAAGAAAGTAGAAATCAGGACTGAGAAAGGGCAGTTACAGACAACGGGCAGTTGGCACTGACTATGAGGAGAGACTGAGAGAGCTGGGACTCTTTAGTCTGGAGAAGAGAAGGCTGAGGGGAGACCTTATCAACGCCTACAAGTATCTCAAGGGAGGGTTGAAGGAGGAGGGAGCCAGACTCTTTTCAGTGGTTCCCACTGAGAGGACGAGGGGCAACGGGCACAAGTTGGAACATAAGAGGTTCCACTCAAATATGAGGAGAAACTTCTTCACGGTGAGGGTGACAGAGCCCTGGAACAGGCTGCCCAGGGAGGGTGTGGAGTCCCCTTCCTTGGAGATTTTCAAGACCCGCCTGGATGCTCCTGAGTAACATGCTCTGACAAGCTCTAGGCAATCCTGCTTCAGCAGGGGAGTTGGACTAGATGATCTCTATGGTCCCTTCCAACTCTAAAATTCAGTGAAATTCAGTGAAATTCAGTACCTGGTAGTTTGCTGCTCTCGACAGCTGCTGGTTCGCTTGCTGCACGTGAACCTCTGCATTTTCCACGTTGGCTTCGATGCTGTCTTTATTTTAAAACAAAACATTTCAAATTTTGGTTAGTTATCACCCAGCCAAAGGTTTGGGTTGCCGAAATACACTTAGGAGCATAGGTAATAGCTGTCCCCCCCAGCTGCTGGTGTCTTCATCAATTATCATCGAATCATAGAATGGTTTGGGTTGGAAGGGACTTCAAAGACCATCCAGTTCCAACCCCCCTGCCAGAGAAGCTTGATCCATCCTGTACTTCTTCCCAAGTTCATTTTTGAACCACCCAGGCAATGAGGGGCTGAATTTGCATCAGTAACAGCTCCCCTGGTGTAGAACCAGAACTGAACCTTTGATCCCAACTGCAGTAGAAACTCTCAGTACTTCAACTTTTTTTTTTTTTAACTTTTTTTTTAAAAAAAACTTTTACTTGTCCTCGAACTTGCTCCTGACTGCCCTCTGCTCAGATTAAAAAAGTGCTAAGGCCTACGAAATCAGAGGAAACAGACACACAGAACACCCCAAAAGGCACGACTCCAGCTTGGTATTCTATCACATTGACACAGATTTATTATTTTTTTTCCCCCTCCTGGAAAAATGCGAACAGATTATGGGCTAAGGTGATAGAAAAAGCTCTGAAAACAACAGCATGGCCCAGCAGCAGACTCAGAAAATGTATTTTTCAACCACGTTTCATTAAAAGAACCAACCTGTCTGCATGGAGGGCAAAGCAAGAATCTTTGCTGAATCTGCACACTTATGGCATTAACCAATACCCTAAAAATCCCCACATGAACCCCAATTTTATGTACAAACAATTAAAAAAACTACCTTTACAGACATTTTATACACGTGAAAAGCTACATAATGTTTTAAACTACATTTTAAACAAACTTTCTTAATGTATCCCCAGTCACATCAGCCAACCTACCCATGTTTAGGCTGTACCTGATTTGTTTTAGCTTTGATATTCTCATTAGAGAAATTTGTCCAGCAAAAGAAAGTTCATGTTGCAGCTCTCCAGAGTAACAAAATAAAAAACCAAAAATTCAAAGAATATTTGAATTGGACTTACCTATCACATCCCCTTGTTCATGGATCATCATTCCTAGATCTTTAAAAATTTCATTGATGTCCATAATATCTGCCTGCGAGGAAACAATCATTGAATTAATTGATATAAATGTTTTCTAGCATCTCTCTACATTTAGATATAAATACTGCTCCTCCTTCTCACAACTAAGCATCCATGACTTTTTTTACACTACAAGATAAGAAAACCTGTTTAAAAAAACCTAAGTTTCTGTTTAAGCCAAATTAATAAAAGCATGTGCAGAAGGTATTTTGCATTAGTTTGAGTACACAAATTTAAATTTACAGAAATTAACTCTAAAATATGGCCAGGCATTTGCACCTCTTGTATAATCCTACTTCCACCTGGTTACAATGAAGGGATAGATGCCGTTTTACCCCTGTGCATATGATCTCTTCTTAAGTAATGATGGATATATGTTGAGTTCAATTGACTGTAAGTTAAATTATGAGTGGCAAGGGAGAGATTATTGAAAAATTTATCCACAGAATGGGTTTTTCCACATTCATCAGTGAGACCTCCTGAAAAATGCCAGTTCCAGCATCTCTCCTGTTGGTGGCAAGAGATGTGGATTCCAGACCGGTTGGGAAAATTAATTTTGCCTTTGCAGATGTCTCTTGATTCCAGTATTTCATCAGGTGTGACAGTTCACATCTTGTTTTTACAGATTTTTAACTTATTGACAAGCCCTTGATTACAAAAGCTGGAATGAAACAGAGCACCGCTGTTATTTCCAGAAATGTTCAAAAAAGCCACTTAAAAAATGAAGATGTTGAACGATACATTGAGAAAACCTGGGAGGAAAGGCTTAATTTTGCTTACTTTATATAATCAGTGTTAAAAAAAGGTTATGACCAATATGTTGGAAAAAAATGGTACGTATTCTTTTTTGCAATCACAATCCCTTATTCCATACATGACCCAGTGAAGTTAAACACAGTATCAAAACATGGCTTTCATGACAATAGATTTTTAATGCACATTTCACATATAAACTCAATATTTATAGTGTGGAAGGAAGAAAACACACCCACAAAGCCTAACTCCTCCAGATTAATATCTGCAATTAATCCTCAGGCCTCTATAAAAATGTTTTTTCTTTGAAAAATTTAAAAGCATACTCTGCTGTGAAACCATTTGTACTTACCTCAAGCTGCCTAATGGAAGATTCCCTCTCCTCAATGAGACGGAGGTCATCCTCTGTAATTTCCTCATCTTGCACTTGTGCTTGTGGTTGACTATCAAGCAAAAAAAAATAAATTAGAACACACAGAAGTGAACAGGCAGAATGTGGAATAACTCAGAAGAAGAAAAGGATAGTACACAGCACATACTTTAATTAAAAATTGCACATTTTTACCCTTAGCTCTCGCTATCAGCGCTCGCTCCTTCGGTAGAGGAAGCTGCTGCTGGAGAAACACTCACATTGAGCCAACTGCTTGGGAATTCCAAGTATGAATACGATGGCAAAGTTTCTTCTGAATGATAAATTGCAGGGTTTACACCCATTCTGAGGCAAAAGCGAGGTAGCCAACAAAACAATCTGAGACTGAGGAGGAGTTCTTGGAGGGCGTGAAAGCAGGGAGAGATCCCAGTAAACACTCAACGCTTATCACAAATGAACAGTTTTACTCCATTCACAGGTTGGAAAGTGCTTAGAATTGTAGAATTGTCTGGGTTGGAAGGGACCTTTCAGATCATTGAGTCCAACCATCAACCAAACTCTGATAAAAACCATCACTAACCCATGTCACTAAGCCCTATGTCAACACGATTTTTAAATACCTCCAGGGATGGTGACTCCACCACTGCCCTGGGCAGCCCATTCCAAGGTTTCATAACCCTTTCCGTGCCAAAATTTTTCCCAATATCCAATCTGAACCTCCCCTGGTGCAACCTGAGGCCATTTCCTCTTGTCCCATGGCCTGTTGTCCCATGTCACCAGTTGGAGAGAGCGAGAAGGTCTCCCCTCAGCCTCCTTTTCTCCAGGCCGAACACCCCCAGCTCCCTCAGCTGCTCCTCACAAGACTTGTGCTCCAGACCCCTCACCAGCTCCGTTGCCCTTCTCTGGACCCACTTACCTAAGTCTGGGTCTCAGGAAGCCCAAATACAGACTTAGGGAAGTTTAATAAGATAATTAAATCTGAAACATGGGGAAAAAACAGGAAGGTGATGGTCCTTTTTCTTCACATCTATTCCACCAGAGCCTCTTTATAATTACCCTACAGAAGAAAGCCTAACTGAACAACCTACCCCAACTACCTCCAGAAAAAAGGCAATTGATGAGAAAAAAAATAATTAAAAGTGAAAAAATAATAATAAAAAAAGGCAGCTGGCTTCCCTGCAGGCTATTAATTATTTTGAGTGAGGTTAAGACTTACTAACAAATTCATCCTACCTGTCCCAAGAGACAAGTGTTCCTTCTTTGTAGCCATCTTCAGCAGCACCACCCTACATGATCAGTGTTTAAAAAGATACATAAAACATTACGGCCCTGAAAAGAGCACTGTCAGCATTTCTATAATGAGTCAATATTATAAGGTTTATAGTAAGTCAACTTCAAACTGAAAACGTGATTTAACATGTTCTCCTCCTGGTTTTGCTCTATGCATGCACAAAGCTGAAATATGAGCAAAAACATTCAACTCAGGAACTGCCTGCTAAAATTTACAACCTGTATTTGGCACAGAGTGAAAAGGCAAAATGGATATGCTAACAAGAAAAAGCTCAACATCTCAAGCTTCTCAGCACTTCTCCACTGTAATACTGCAGAGAAGTCTGGGAAGTGATTCTTCCCTATAGAAAAAAATATCTGTTGATATCGAAAATCCCAACAAAAGCATTTCAAAATCTACCAAAATATTGCTTTTTGCACGATTATGGCATAAACCCAGGGACAGTTTATATTTCTGGGTGACAAAGGCAAGGAAAAAAGTAACATAACTTCATTCAGCCTTTACTGTAAAATCATTTAGCACACGTTCTGCAGTATTTGGAGTCAGACAGGAGCTTCTGCAAGTAGCATTGAGGAGGCAAATTTGACATCTAACACCAATAAACAGTATAATGGCACATTTTCTGATACTTACAGATACCCTTGAGCTGGCTCTTACTCTGGCTACAAAGTCTTTTTCTTTCTCAGCAGCTTGCCTTTGGAGTCGTTGGAAGTTTGTTAGTGCTGTGGTGAACTCCCCCACAAGTCGGTCTTTCTGTATTTTTCTTTGACGCTACAGGAGCAAAAAAATAGTTTTACCAGGTCAACTGAGCTCCAGCTTCTCAAGGCTCTGCCATTTCCAGGCTGCTTGATGCCAAGGCATATACTCTTTTTATTCTAAATAGGTCTAATAAAACCATTTGCTTTTTTTTTTTTTAAACTTTTTTTTTAAAAAAAACTTTTACTTGTCCTCGAACTTGCTCCTGACTGCCCTCTGCTCAGATTAAAAAAGTGCTAAGGCCTACGAAATCAGAGGAAACAGACACACAGAACACCCCAAAAGGCACGACTCCAGCTTGGTATTCTATCACATTGACACAGATTTATTATTTTTTTTCCCCCTCCTGGAAAAATGCGAACAGATTATGGGCTAAGGTGATAGAAAAAGCTCTGAAAACAACAGCATGGCCCAGCAGCAGACTCAGAAAATGTATTTTTCAACCACGTTTCATTAAAAGAACCAACCTGTCTGCATGGAGGGCAAAGCAAGAATCTTTGCTGAATCTGCACACTTATGGCATTAACCAATACCCTAAAAATCCCCACATGAACCCCAATTTTATGTACAAACAATTAAAAAAACTACCTTTACAGACATTTTATACACGTGAAAAGCTACATAATGTTTTAAACTACATTTTAAACAAACTTTCTTAATGTATCCCCAGTCACATCAGCCAACCTACCCATGTTTAGGCTGTACCTGATTTGTTTTAGCATTGATATTCTCATTAGAGAAATTTGTCCAGCAAAAGAAAGTTCATGTTGCAGCTCTCCAGAGTAACAAAATAAAAAACCAAAAATTCAAAGAATATTTGAATTGGACTTACCTATCACATCCCCTTGTTCATGGATCATCATTCCTAGATCTTTAAAAATTTCATTGATGTCCATAATATCTGCCTGCGAGGAAACAATCATTGAATTAATTGATATAAATGTTTTCTAGCATCTCTCTACATTTAGATATAAATACTGCTCCTCCTTCTCACAACTAAGCATCCATGACTTTTTTTACACTACAAGATAAGAAAACCTGTTTAAAAAAACCTAAGTTTCTGTTTAAGCCAAATTAATAAAAGCATGTGCAGAAGGTATTTTGCATTAGTTTGAGTACACAAATTTAAATTTACAGAAATTAACTCTAAAATATGGCCAGGCATTTGCACCTCTTGTATAATCCTACTTCCACCTGGTTACAATGAAGGGATAGATGCCGTTTTACCCCTGTGCATATGATCTCTTCTTAAGTAATGATGGATATATGTTGAGTTCAATTGACTGTAAGTTAAATTATGAGTGGCAAGGGAGAGATTATTGAAAAATTTATCCACAGAATGGGTTTTTCCACATTCATCAGTGAGACCTCCTGAAAAATGCCAGTTCCAGCATCTCTCCTGTTGGTGGCAAGAGATGTGGATTCCAGACCGGTTGGGAAAATTAATTTTGCCTTTGCAGATGTCTCTTGATTCCAGTATTTCATCAGGTGTGACAGTTCACATCTTGTTTTTACAGATTTTTAACTTATTGACAAGCCCTTGATTACAAAAGCTGGAATGAAACAGAGCACCGCTGTTATTTCCAGAAATGTTCAAAAAAGCCACTTAAAAAATGAAGATGTTGAACGATACATTGAGAAAACCTGGGAGGAAAGGCTTAATTTTGCTTACTTTATATAATCAGTGTTAAAAAAAGGTTATGACCAATATGTTGGAAAAAAAATGGTATGTATTCTTTTTTGCAATCACATGAGCACTCCCTTATTCCATACATGACCCAGTGAAGTTAAACACAGTATCAAAACATGGCTTTCATGACACAATAGATTTTTAAAGCACATTTCACATATAAAGGCAATATTTATAGTGTGGAAGGAAAAAACCACACCCACAAACCCTAACTCCTCCAGATTAATATCTGCAATTAATCCTCAGGCCTCCATAAAATGCTTTTTCTTTGAAAAATTTAAAAGCATACTCTGCTGTGAAACCATTTGTACTTACCTCAAGCTGCCTAATGGAAGATTCCCTCTCCTCAATGAGACGGAGGTCATCCTCTGTAATTTCCTCATCTTGCACTTGTGCTTGTGGTTGACTATCAAGCAAAAAAAATAAATTAGAACACACAGAAGTGAACAGGCAGAATGTGGAATAACTCAGAAGAAGAAAAGGATAGTACACAGCACATACTTTAATTAAAAATTGCACATTTTTACCCTTAGCTCTCGCTATCAGCGCTCGCTCCTTCGGTAGAGGAAGCTGCTGCTGGAGAAACACTCACATTGAGCCAACTGCTTGGGAATTCCAAGTATGAATACGATGGCAAAGTTTCTTCTGAATGATAAATTGCAGGGTTTACACCCATTCTGAGGCAAAAGCGAGGTAGCCAACAAAACAATCTGAGACTGAGGAGGAGTTCTTGGAGGGCGTGAAAGCAGGGAGAGATCCCAGTAAACACTCAACGCTTATCACAAATGAACAGTTTTACTCCATTCACAGGTTGGAAAGTGCTTAGAATTGTAGAATTGTCTGGGTTGGAAGGGACCTTTCAGATCATTGAGTCCAACCATCAACCAAACTCTGATAAAAACCATCACTAACCCATGTCACTAAGCCCTATGTCAACACGATTTTTAAATACCTCCAGGGATGGTGACTCCACCACTGCCCTGGGCAGCCCATTCCAAGGTTTCATAACCCTTTCCGTGCCAAAATTTTTCCCAATATCCAATCTGAACCTCCCCTGGTGCAACCTGAGGCCATTTCCTCTTGTCCCATGGCCTGTTGTCCCATGTCACCAGTTGGAGAGAGCGAGAAGGTCTCCCCTCAGCCTCCTTTTCTCCAGGCCGAACACCCCCAGCTCCCTCAGCTGCTCCTCACAAGACTTGTGCTCCAGACCCCTCACCAGCTCCGTTGCCCTTCTCTGGACCCACTTACCTAAGTCTGGGTCTCAGGAAGCCCAAATACAGACTTAGGGAAGTTTAATAAGATAATTAAATCTGAAACATGGGGAAAAAACAGGAAGGTGATGGTCCTTTTTCTTCACATCTATTCCACCAGAGCCTCTTTATAATTACCCTACAGAAGAAAGCCTAACTGAACAACCTACCCCAACTACCTCCAGAAAAAAGGCAATTGATGAGAAAAAAAATAATTAAAAGTGAAAAAATAATAATAAAAAAAGGCAGCTGGCTTCCCTGCAGGCTATTAATTATTTTGAGTGAGGTTAAGACTTACTA